TCTTTGCTTTCCAAGCGGCGCAATAGAGCAAATCCTTTCTTTGCTGGTTGAATGACCTCCGCTTTCTACAATATAGTAAGCATAACATGCCAAATACTGAAGCAGGTAAACTACAGCCCTTTGTGCAGCCTCCTTTTCCATATGGGCAAGTCATGCAGTTATAAATGATGCATATCCGGTCAGGAGAGGATTTTTAACCAACCGGTGTTTAATGTGGTCTCTTGATGTGTTAACCAAGAAAACGTCATTGGCTAGGCCTGCTCTTTTCAGGTATTGCTTATAACTGAGCTAAATCGATCTGATATAAATGGTAATCAAAGGTACATCGTATCTTCAGTTCCATATGGAAGAGGACTTGGTCTGCTCCGTCTGTCATGCTACTGAGCTGTGTATCCGTTAAAATTTGCTATTTGGTGGCCAACCTTCTGGAATCTTAAAGTTCATCGTTACCGATGCACAGCTTCATAGCCGTTTTGTACATGTTCCGAAACACTGCGCGTTTAACAGCTCTGGGTGCCGATATTGCGTTAATGATGATATTCTTGGAGCATCCAGTTCTAGACCACTTCACACTGTATGTTCCAGTGGTGACCCTTGCCTGTGTATTAAGAAAAGCTAACAAGCCTTCGCGCGGGACTTCTCGAGTTTGCTTGATGTGCTGCGACTGACTGTTTATGATAGAGTGTTGAACTACTCATGCATTTCTGGCTGAACTGAAGTAATGATGAAACAGTCGCCAGCGTGACGGCAGTATATTATGGGTAAGCGTGCAGTAGGCGTTCGACTCACTCATAAAGCAGACAGCAAGAACCGGTACTAGCCGCTGTTCCATCGCAAGCCCTCTTATATGTGAAAAGTGGCTCTCGGAGCACTCCAATATATTGCAATTCAGGCACTCTTTAATGAAAGCATTATTCAAGATATGCTCAATTCAAACGTCGCCACAATATTTTCGGGCTGTTAAGCATTTCGGAAACTGCTTGCAAAGGCTCGTTGTTGCTAAAGTTGGTGTAGAGCGCAGCCACGTCAAGTGATCATAACGCAGTTGCGTTGAATTCTGCAAGCACGTAGGTGATCCAAGGATTGTCTCGTCCTAGATAGATGTGATGGCTGAGGAGTTGACCGATTTTTATTCAGAAACCATGAAATGCGATCGGTTGGTCCATCAACACAACTGATTATTGGCCTAATTTTGAAAGACTGCGGCAGAGGTGACAGCATGTTTTCAGCAGACAACCTATGGGTTTTACAAGGCTATAGGATATCGGCACGTGGGGTCCCAGCTTGAGCCTTCTTATGAGTCCTTCATCCAATTTTGCCGTCTTTCCTACTTTGACTGGCGTATCGATTCGTGGTAACTATCCGAAACAACAAGCGAGTACCACTCACTGGACTACTCTGGCTCGCGACAGGGACGAATGGAGACGTTACTGACGCCCGCTCGAGGAAATCGACGAACAACGGGACGACAGATGATACAAGTGATATCAGTCGATGACCAAACAGGTTGCAATGAACCCGCGACATCGTTGGACTCTCTCGCAAATTTCTGCCGAAGTTTTCAATTGTTCAAGACCGATGTTCGCAAATGGTCGTGATCGCGTCGTTCTACGCCCCTGCTAAAGACTTTGAAGAAATGTTAGATTGTTTCTAGTGAAAGAACCTCCCTAGAACGCTCTAGACAGAACTGCAAGTATTTGAAGGCTTGCAAAGCTCTTTGAAATAACGCAGAGACTCTGGCAATTTTGGCAATCGCTGAATAACACTCCTGCGAGAGAAACAGATGTCGGAAATGAAACGGAATTGCGTTTTAGATCGAATATAAGACAATAGTCTGAACCTTCGATTTGTAGCAATCATTTTATCTTCGAGCCTGTCTCTTTTAAGCTAAAAAATTATTTACTGCATCACAACACATTATATCGCTAACCATATAAATGATGGCAGGTGCAATAGCAGATGTTCCGAAAGACCGTCATCAGCAGTCAAAAAATTCGCGTTCAGCTCAGGTTCCAGGAGAGAGCAGTCAGCGAGAAACTCCAAATACGCAGTGATAATGGTGTGTTCACAGTCTTGCCAAGGGCTGGGACGTCAAAAAATATTTCGGCACGAATGGCAAGGATGGCTATATTCAAATGGGACGCGAAAGAGCAGTGAAACAACGACAGGACTATTTCAAGAATGTTTCATAAAGTGTAGAAATGGCCAATAGGAGCTGTTGGTTCACCTCTATCTTATTCCCAGCCAGTGCACTGTATTGTGCAAAAGATAGTCGTAGAAAAAGCTAAAAATGCTCTGAACGATATGACGGCCGGCGACAAGAGCGTGGTTTTTAACGTGAGCGTAGTCCATGCGTGAAAAAAATGAAATGGGCTACGGAACCATTCTCGAGCAAATACTCAAATAGGCCGTCAAGGCGAACAAGACGTCTGAGTACCATCCTTCTGATCAGGAAAATTAAAATCCTGCAGCCTGAACGAAATACCGGCTGATTCGCCTGATCTTGCACAATACGAAGATCATTGGGCGAATCGAAGGCAGCCGTCTTGAAAATTTCTTTATCTCTCCATCAAACACTTTGTTCCGCTACCTGTTGCAAACCCTCCATCAGAAGGCCGTCATAGCCGCTTTTCTATGCCAACTAACTGATGCTCGTGTGTGAAGACAAGGATGAATTTAGCAAGAGGTGCAGGCATGGTGTGACCATTTGACAATGTTCGTACATGGGTTTGTTCCAAGTCGATCTGTCGATAGAAACCTGATTGAGGGCTTCAACCACTGAAACAAAGCCCCGAACTCAGCTGCACTTTTGACTTTGCGAAAGCATTGATATATGTAGTCTGACATGATAGCCGACTTCGCGAATTAGCAGAATTGACACTTTACCCCCCCCCCCTTTGACGGGTGAATCTCTGAGTATTCGAGGAGCAAGAAATTCC